AGTACCTGCACAAATTACTATGAAATGAGACTGGTTTCTGGCACTATGGGAGTCACTGCAGCAATTACAAATGCTAGCAAACATTTGCTGAAGCTGTGGTCAGACAACAGGAGCAGCGTGCTGTCTTTCTACATCGATGACTAAATTTTTGTAACTTTTATGAGAAAACAAGTAAGGCCTTGCACGGAGTCAGATCTAAGAGGATTTCTTGAAAGTGGTACAGAATTAGGAATTTTCCTTTTTGGAGGGTTTCAGCCTGCACAGAGTAAAAAGCAGCAGCAGGTGTTTACAGTGGAAACGCTCTAGGCAGCCAGAAAGCAACCAGGCAGCTAAGTCTAGGCTTTGGTCTCTAGAAAAACATTACAGTAATGTAGAATATGGTTATACCAGCAGAATGGATACAAAAGCTGAGAGCCAAAGAAGAGCTAGTAGAATATTGTGCCTTATCTCAGCAAGCTTTTGTTCTCTATTCCTTACACAAGGTTTTCATAGCTATATGGTACTAAGGAGCAAGTCTTCTTAAAACCTTAGTCCAGGAAATCTGTATCAGCTATACTGATTCTGGAGATTTTAAAAAAACTGAGGTCTTTTACCTTTTGTTCGCTCTCTCTCTTTTTTTTTTTTTTTTTGGTATCAGAAAGAGAAAAGAGAGTGAGAAATTGAGAAATAGCTAGGCATTATTGCATGTACAAATTACCAACATCTGTACAGTTTCTAGGTGCCACTAAACATGAAAATGACTTCCCACACTTACTGCTATGTGATCCCAGGCTGATGAAGCTCGAAACCTATATGCAAAACCAAAACAGCAAAATCTGTCTTCCTTTTCTGCAGAACACTGATACTTTGAATGAACAATTGGAGAGAGCTGAATGATTTTAAATCTTTGACTTTCTTGCAGGAGTGAATCACATCAGACAGAAACCTGCAATTGTGTTAAAAAATGATATTAATAATAACTGTTTTCTAGCTTCACTGTATAGATGAACCAACATTTCTTATTTAAAGGAAAAAAAGAAAAATTGGATTAATCTATTTTAAGACTTACAGAATATCCACATCATTCTACCATTCAGAATACTCCAGACTGTATATGGCCCATCTGTTAGCACTACGGTTGAAGAAAGACAGTCTGTTTTAAAGACCTACAGGCACTGGAGAATTTTCACAACTCTTGATAAATATACTCAATTGTTCTGTTCTAAAAAAAAAAATCAAACTTCTGTCAAAATCAAGCGGCAGTTATATTTTAAGTTGCTCTTCTTTCATCTTCCAACCATTCGGTTTGATTAACTCTGTATTTGCAGGACAGGCCTTAAGAAAGTCATGACTTAACCTCCTTTTGATAAACTTGATGGATTTTGAGAGTCCCAAATTCATCCCTCTTCAGCAAAGTGCTTAAACAGGTTTAATTTGAAATCAGTAGAAGTTAAGCATGTTGACTGCTAACATATTATAGTTATTTCCTTGCTCAGGACCATGTTTTCATATGGTGAATTTTCCAGGCCCCGAGAGTGCTTTTTAGAGCTCTTGCAGGACCTACCTTAATAGCCATAGGAAGAGCTGTGCTGGCAGGTGAATAGTATTAGCTACTCTTTGCAGGGTCTATTTCTCCTCCTGACTGCTGTGCTCCCAGTATGTTGCCAATTACTGGAACATCATAGATGCTAATGTGCTGCTGCATCTCCAAAGTGCACCTGCTTACCCACTACCCATAGCTCCAAAAATTCTTTCTGATACCACTTTTTGCAGAAAACACACCCATCTCAGCCTCATCCAGCCACTCCTGTTCCTTAATGTTCCAATATAGCAAGAAAGAAACATTCCCCTGCTGAGGTAACCAAAGAGTGTCCAGTGAAGACCAGACAATCCAGCTGCTTGCATGTGATGGCTGCGTAATTTGGTTTTCTGTATAACAATTTGATCTTTTCCCTATGCTTCACATTATATGTTATCCTGCATCTTGTATAGTGTAGTTACCAGGCATTCCTCAGCTGGTTAACTTCACACACACTGAGCAAGTTCTCAGGCTGCAATCCATATTCATGCCAAGCACACAGCTCAAACTGTATTTTCGCATACCATATTTAGACTTTTCCATCTGCACGTTCTTGTTGTGCAATAATCTTTCCGGGACTGCTCTAAGTCAGACCACAGGTATCCTGCACTCAAATGTCTGTTTCAGACACTCCTTTGAGAACCCCGTCACTCTCTCTTAAGTTGTAGGCAGCTAACCACACTTACAAATTATAGTTCCTTTTCCAAAATGGTGTGTGCCCACACCTAGCTATCAGTTTCATCATCATTAGATCTCAATTTGATAGCTAGGCTTCCTGTTTTTCAAGCTCAGAAGAACATTGCCCTAACCTTGCCCTAACCTTTTATAGTATTACTTTTCATCTATTCTCATGGCTTTGCTGATTTTGTAGACTGGATCATATCTTTCCAGTAGTGGTCACATCAGTCCTGCGGACAGAGGTGAAGTTCTATTTCATTGCCCACATAGCCAAGAAATATACGTCCCTCTGTCCTCTACTATTGTCCTCTGCCTACTGCTATTTAGCACTATTAATCTCCCCCATCAGTTTCAAAATCATTGATTTGTAGGCTACAAGTAGCCTTATGTTTGAGTACAGCCTATAGTTTTTGCACCTAGATATATGGCCTTGCTTTTGGCTGCATTAAGGCACTTAAATGTTGTTAACCACAGTTTAATAACGTTCAAACATGTCATTTCTCTTATTGCTTGGGTCTTCCATATAGCTACTAGTTGTATGGTGTCTGAAATCTTGTATGTAGAACTACAGTTTTATGTGCAAGTACTTTGTTTCTTGCTGATTGTTTGGCCTGCTGAAAAGTACCATGCCTGACCAGTTTGATTTGATTAATATAATTAGAAGACCTAAGGCAAAATATGAGTATCCCTGAGGATATTAAAATGCCACCTACAATTTACTGCTATTATATTGACGGAAGCTGGTACAACTTTGTTTTCAGCCAAATCAATTCCAGAACTCGACTAGCTAGCCTGAAAAAATCTTTTCTATATAAAAGGAAGTAATTAGCTTTATTTGCTTTATTTTTCAATGTTTTTGCTGTGAGTATCCTGAGAACACCTTCAAAGTGTATCTTGTAACTATGAAGCGGAGCTGTTTGCTTAGTATCAGTTCTGAATTCAATTAAAATTCAGTCTAAAAGGAGGCAACAATGAAAGTGCTGCAAATTTCTATTACAAATAAGTTGGTCCAAAAATTAACTGCTACTGTCAAAATATAAACTTAAAAAAGAAATGCATCAAAGTTTGCAAGAATCTCCATATCCTGTACCCTGATCAAATATAATGTTAGCTAGGAAGGCACGTTTTCAGGTGTACTAGAGGAAATAAAAGCTATGCGATTTAATTGTAATTGAAAAGTTTTTTTAAAAAGAGGATCCATTCTAATGATCCAAGAACTAAAAGACATGAGGTTTTGTGATTTAATTGCCAAGATTTCAAATTCTGAACAGCAATGACTTGGTTATGGTACATAAGTGTCCTTACAGGTAGTAACCATTGAGATGAGTAGGAGAGGCTTGTTCATCTAACAGAAAAGATGCAGCTGGGACCAATAAATGACAAGTAAGGCCAGACAAGGTACAAATCAAAAACAAGGCATACACTCCTCCTCAAGGAAGGAGAAATCAAACTGCTAAGGGAACTGGAGCATCTTTATCCTTCCATTCTGCCAGATGAACACTAAACACCAAGTGATTGACCTTAGGGCAGGAGTTAACTGGATGAAATTCTATGAACTACAGAAAACAAAACAAAACAAAAAATGATGTCCCACCAATGGGTTAGAGCCCACTGGTTGCAAAAGTTACTTAGGAAACTGCAAGCATGGAGAGGGGAGTTAGAAACGTTTAGGAAATGTCAGGAATGGATTTGAATGGCCTGAGCGAGGCCAGTCTACAACCAGAGTAATTTTGCCCTGCTCACATCTGCTTAGGTGACCCTCTCCAACCCTCCTAGGCTGCCTGATGCAGACATGCATTGATATAAGTATTTAGCTGTAACATTGTTACATCATCTCTGTCTCTATAAAAAGACAAGTGAGAACATTTTTCCGTCAGATAAGGAGTTGTCAGCAATGAAACATTTGACTGTTATTTCTGGTTTTAAAGTCTACAACTATGAGTAAAGTATTTCAGAGGATGAGTAGCCACAGAAAATGCCAAGGCCATGTATCAAAAAACACTACCTGAGAAAAAAAATAGTGGTAAAGATAGCATAGAAAGGGATTTGGCTTTTTTTCTTTTTTTGCTTCTTCTCTTCAAAAACAAATCATTACTGTGACTCTTTCTGTGTGTTTAAAAAAAAAAAAGCCCATTAAGTACCTGAAGTAGAAAAGTGACAGGTAGGTTTTGAAAGAAAAAATGTCACCTGCCTTAGTATTTTCTAGAATATTCTGTAATTTTACTATCCTAAATAAGTATCATAGGACTTGGGGAAATGCATGAACTTGTCCTGAATGCCCTGGTCAGGACATCAGATAAGAAAAGAAAGAACACGGGTAAACTTTCTGGGTCTGTCATGGTAGGTGGGATGTGCCTGAAAGAACAGAGGTGTCTCTAACGTAGACTTCTCCATCTGAGTTAGTCACGCTAGCTTGTCTTTAAAGTTAATGGAGAGGCATTAGTAGGGCTCGAGTGATCTCACTGGGACATAGATGCCATATTGCTAATGTTTAAAGTTGAGTGAGACAAATTCCATCTAGTAAGCTTATAGGGGAAGTAGCACTGAATCCCTCTGTGCCACATTTTCCCCTCAGTTTAAAACATGACTAATGCTTGCTTTTTAATCCCTGCATCTGTTGAGCCTATATTTGTTAAAAGAATCTTTGCTGACCATGTATCTGGGTAGCATAGAAAGGACCTCACAGCTTAGATGAATCCGTTAAGAGGAATAAATGAGAACTTCATTAAGTAAAAGAATGTTTATACAACAGAAACATAATGAATAGTGGAATGTATTAGCTTCCACAAAAGTGCGCTTTAACCATTACAAGCAGCAGAAGTGAGACCTAGAAAGGACTACGTTATGTCAACATAGATGAAACACCCAATATCCCAGTGAAATCTCCCATGGCTGTAAGAATCTTCGGGGCAGAAGATATTCTAGGTTCCCTTCTGTTCCAAACCTGGTTTTATTGCATTATTGTGCGCTCAGAGAGCTCGGAGAGAAAAAGCTTTCTTTTTTTTATTTGCTAAAAAGAATTACACCATAACAATCCTAACAGTGTTTTCCGTAAAAATAATTTTTTTAAAAAAAGATAATTTCATAACCATTGTATTTTACCTGGAAGGTTTTTGATGGGAGTTGAAATCAGTTATAAGACTGCTAGAAATTGTTATAAATAACGTATCATGAATAAGTTGTTCGACTGACAATTGAGAGAATGTTGTAAGATAACATCAGGACTGTGTGTGTAGGGTGGGAGAGCATAAGGGTGGATGGAGATCAGGGTGAAGAAGCTATATCCCAAACTCTTGACTGTTCTATCAGTGTGACAGTTCTAAACATGAAGATGCATTTGCTCCACTGAGTCCATCATTCTCTCTGACAGTGCAACAAGATTTTGCATTTTATAACATTTTAGAAAACTACTGTTCAATCTTCCATTTTTACATGCAGTTCCCATTGTTCCTTGAATTGTAGAAGATACATTTCTTGGTCCTCTGATGCCTCATCAGATACCTGTTTCTCATACAGTCTGGAAAAAATTCCCTCTTTGTCAGGATCACCACACTGAAATGAGGCTTCACATGTCTCATTTTCAACACCGGACAAAGTAGGAATGTACAGTCTTCCAGTGTGAGGATCCCAATCTACTAATATGGTCTGTTCATTCTCTTTCTCTGTGTCCTTTGATGCAGCTGGATCCTGGAGGCTCTGTGCTATTGTTTCCAGCGGAGGATAGGATGTCTGCCCAGATTTTTTAGTATCCAAGTCCACCAAGTTGATATGTGCCCCATCCAGCAATTTATCTGCAGGAACCACCTTCAAATTAAGTTCCTCTAGTTTCTGTCCCAAACAAGGATCTGCTGCCCTCACCTCAAGTTGAGGGCAATATGGCTGCCTTACTTTAATATCATCAAAGCCCTCCACCAGGTGTGGCTCACCTAGCAGTTCCCTAGGGGCAGAAGACTTCTCTTTCAAACAGAGTTCCATTAGTTTCTGACCAGGACTGAAGTCTTCAGCCCTTACATCCAGTTCATACTCTATATTCCCTTCATTTTTTTGGCTCAAAGTATTCTTAGTTCCAGCCTGGCCATAAGATGGCCAGTTCCTAGTTTGGTCTTGTTTTGAGAAAATATCCACTGCATGTGAAATATCAAGCAACTGTTTTGTTTCTAGCACTTCTTTTGGAGGCAAATCCTTCCCTTCAGTGCCATTGTAAACAGTATAATAATGAGGACTTTTCCCCTCTGATGGATGAATGGATTCCTGAGATGGCTTGTACTCATCCACATTAAGAGCGATAAGATTGACCACTATTTTTTCACAAGGTATAAAAACCCTTTCCTTGCATTTATCAGTATAGTGCCATACCTGGAAAGCAAAAATATTTTCATTTGAACAAAGCATAATACAAATACCATCTTGCTGCTTCTTATACTGTTATCTATTTTTAAAATATAAGGCCGGGTTATACCTTATTAAGAGTCAGTATTTCAATTTATGGAAAAGAAAGTTCCTCATATATACCTCCAGGAGTGTCAATGTGCTGCACTTTTTAAATTCTGTTAGAAATAAAAACATATGACCAGCTCCAACTTCCCTTTTCTCACCTTCCCCATGTCAAAATAGTAGACCAGTTTTGTCAAATTCTGCATGTGTTTCCACCAGCACAAACTCAAGTGACTTCAGAGGAAACATCAGAGTTGTCCTTGGGTCACAGATTACAGAATCTATTCCATTCTATTTAACCAGCGAAGAGGCTCCATACGCTACATTCCAACCTTAATGTATAGCTTCCTCTCTGAAAGGAAACTTGTTATTATTTAATCCTGTGTGAGCTATACCTTAACACGGTAGTGTATGGAGCCTGCATTGTGGATTCTGTCACAGGCTGCATTTGCCACTCTGGGATAAATTATCCAGTTAAACAACAGCAATCTCTCTGAAATGAGTAATATTGCTGACAGGAATAAATACTGTATGAGTAGTTACTAAAATAAAATGCAATACATTTATAAGAGAAAAGACTCTTGGAGTTGGAGTTTATTCTGCTGTTGAGTGGGAGTTTTTCACTAAGACAACTTTTATCTTCTGTGACTATAAAGACCTCTGCCCAGCTAGATCTCAAAAGGAGACCGTGCCATCTCTCCCTACCATCCCCTGCACGTCAGCATAAAGCTGGTTGCTTGTCAGGTTCAGGAAATGTCTCAGTGCACGTCTGAGAACAGCGCAGCAGTAGCTGCTCTACTCCTTGCTTCTACACCATCCAAGAAGCGTTTGGTCCCTCAGTGAACATTTTTCCTATAACCTCCGCACTTTTCTAGATTTTTTGTGGATCAAGCAGCATGTTAAAATCAACTCAACTCCCTTACGCCTCCCATCCCACACTGTCATGCAGAGTGGATTAACATCAGTGTTCATTCATTATTGTAATTACATGTTTGTGCTTGAGCAACTTGTTTAGAGATAGCTGTAAGAAAGTTTTGTTTGGCTAATGGGCTGGAAACAACATGTCTTAGACTCCGTTTATCTTTCTAGAAGATAAACTTAACAGACTCTACAGAACAGGTCTAAGAAGACTTATGAACATTTTTATATAGAAATTATCTTTGGACTGTCTAACTAACAGGATGTGTTTGCTGGTACATTTTTTGGTTTAGGAAATAGTACGCCTTATTTCAAAGCATTCTTGAAATCCAAATTAAATAATATGGCTGATGCACACATGCTAGATCCTTCACAAAGATAATTAAATGGCAAAATCTCATAATGCCTAGTAATAGTCCAAGAAAACATCAGTTTTGGTCTGAGGCTTCTGCACTCCTTAGTTATCTTCCCTTTTTGTTTCTGAATTCAACCATTAATAATTTTTCTTCACTGAATCTCTCCCATGCTTTTTCCTGGGTAAATTCAGAGAGCGCTGACTTTCTCATGGAACTTGCTTTTGTTCACCTCAGACCTTGCCTACAGCAATGACTCTTCCCATGGGAACAGTTTTGTTCTGATCCTTGCCAGCTCTGGTCATCGTTTCAGGAATACAGGCTGTACAGACAGTTGCTAACTGTGTTACAGTTGAGTTACTCCTCCGTTTTCTAGCATTTAACGTCTCTCACGTGATGCTTGTTTCTTGAGCACCACATGAGCAATTACAACTTTTATCTTTTATTTGTGGACAATGTTCAACCTTTGTGCTACCTATGGTTTCCTCCCAGCTGACTCAGCCCCAGAGAATGCACAGCTCTACTGTGAGTGCCAAGGTTGGCAACATCATCAGCAATGCAGAACACTTACCAGGTTTGTTGGATGTTTCTGTTCGCTGACATGAATATACCTGTGCACACAATAGCATGCCATTGAAATAAAAAGGACAGCCAGAATGATAGGCAGAACATATCCAAATAGGATTGTTATAGTCTGATCTGCTGTTTTATCTGTTAAAAAAAAAAAACACAAAAGTTTTTATTGTAGTAACTCTTTAATATATTGACATAGTAATATATGCATTCATCATATTGCTTTTCAGCTGCAGCATGCTAATGTTTTAGATAAACAAAGAATTTGCAGGAAATTAAAATGCTGACATTTGAGCTAGGGGACAAATTTTTATTACTGTAATTCTAAAAAGAAGTAACAATTCTCTTAACTCCCTCCTTCAGACTCTCCTGTTTCTAACTTCTGCCCCCTCAAACTGACCCAGGTGTGCCACTCCCAAACCTCATGCTGGGGAAAAAAAAAATTGTCTATTCACTAAGACTTAAAGAACCCAGATCTTTTTCTTTTGTCATTTCTTCTAGTCAGGAGGCCCCAACTACGTTTTCAAGTCAAGGATTTTTTTCATCAGTACAAATGCAGAGAGGAGAGGAAACAATATTAGCTTTTCAGTCTTGGAACAGATGCATTAAGAACTTTCAAACTCAGTCACCAAGACTTTTTCAAACTTGGATCTTATTTTCATCATTTGCCAGCCTACACATACCTTTCAAAGTAGCAATGCAATGTTCTTTGGAAAACCCACTGTTTAAAAGTGGTGTGGTGACATGTATCTGTGCGCTGACACAATAAGCTGTTCCAGGTTCTAACCAGGGCACAACCAAGGTGTTGTTGCTGACAGAGAACCACCACTAGAAGACATAAGAACGATTCTTCCCTTTAACTCCTCACTTCACAAAAAGATAAAGAGATTTTATATGCAAAATGTATCACAAGCACAAAATTTTTCTGGAAAAGGTAATGATGCTGCAAGAACTGCCAGCTGCATCCTTTTTTGCTGAACGCAATCAAAACTCAAGTTATTCATTAGGTCATGTCCTCTTTGAGTATCTTCCATTCAATCATTCTGCTACCACAACTGAACAATTTCATGATTTCTATGAAGCAGAACCATGGGCCATCACTAGCCGACATACTCATGCTGATATAATAGAGATAGATAAAGCATTATTCTAGCCCCCTGCTGAAGCCTAGACCAATAAAAGGCATATGGTTTAATTTCATGAAATCTTTTACATTAGGATGTTCTAGTAAAGAAAGGAGCCTTATGATAACATGGGTAGCTATACAGACCTCGGAGTCCAAAGTAATTGCTCTCTGTCAAGCACCTTTATTTAAAAAAACAACAACAAAAAAACCCTTAAAACCCTTTGTACACCTCTAATTGCTAATCTTGGCATTTTAATATCCCCTTTGAGAGAAAGGGACCTTTCTGGTGTAAAGATCCTGTTTCTTGTCAATTCAGAGATTGTGCCTGGGGGACAGGAACAGAAGAATATTCTTGTATCTGATCACTGAACTCTTCCTCATCTCCAATGTTTATGCCGGAAACTACTCCTTGATATGGAATGTAAATTTGAAGAGACAGATGAAAGATGACATTCAGGTGCAGTGGTAAAGGATGCAGTTTGCTGTGATGTACTGTGAGTACTGCCATCAGACTGACCGGTTGGGGAGCAGCTCAACTGAAGAGGACCTGGGGGCAGGTACCACGCTGCACATGAGCCAGCAGCGTGCCCTGGCAGCAAAGGAGGCCAACAGCATCTTGGGCTGTATTAACAAGCCAGCAGATAAGTGATCAACCTGCTTTAGTCGGCACTTACCATACCATGTTTAGAATACTGCATCTAATTTTGGCCCCTGCAATACAGAAGGACATGGACAAACTGAAGAGGGTTTTGCAGAGGGCCACCAAGATGGCTGGGGGCTAGAGCACTTGCCCAGTGAGGAGAGGCTGAGGGACTGGAGCAGAAATGGCCTGGGGGTCTATCAGGGGGGACCTCACAGCAGCCCCCAGGACCTGCAGGGAGGTCAGCAAAAACACGGAGCCAGGCTCTTCACAGTGCTGAATGGCAGGAGGATGAGAAACGAGGGACAAAAGGTGAGACAGGAAGTTCCGACTGGATGTAAGGAAACACTTTTTCCCCATGAGGACAGTCAAGCAGTGGAACAGGTTGTGCACCTCCACCCTTAGAGGTTTTGAAGTCTCGACTGGACAAAGCTCTGAGCGAGCTGGTGTAAGCTGTAAGCTGACCCTGCTTTGAGCAGGACGTTAGAGTAGAGATCGCCTGAGGTCTCCCTTCCAACCTGATTAATCCTACAATTCCTATCATCCTATGAATCCCACTTCAATTATTTCTATTGTAGACAAAGTACATTCCAATAAGCGCAGAACATAGATTCAGTAGTTACAGCTCTATAGCCTTTTCAAAGCTTACCCGTTTCTTTGTTTTTTTGTTGAGGACAGACACATTGTATTGCAGGCCAGGATATACCTGAACCAGAGATACGGACTCTCCCTCGGGACTTCTCTTCCATTTCTCAGGAGCAGTCAGAATGACTGAAATAGATTTTTCCGTAGAAGATATGCTTACCGTGGGTGGATCAATTTTAGCTGGAAAAATAAGCATTTATATAAAGCCATTTCATGCAGCATAAGCACATTGATTTGACTATGAAGTTTCTTAAAGTAGTTGATATTAAATTTTTGTAATATTTTGGCGAGTTTAAGTAGGACTTTGAACAATTCATTTATATCAGTAGAAAATTATTTTCCAGATAAGTGAGAAAACCTTTACATTGAGAATGTGAACACTGACTTGGAATTTTACTTAGGAATTCCTATGACTTAGCAGATTACACAACCTTGCAACTCAGTTTGTTAAAATGAGCTAAATTACCAGTGTGTTGCTGGATTATCTGGCACAGCTGAGAGATGTTGTGCTATAGAGTACGATTACTGCTTGGTTTAATAAGGCCTTTTTAAAAATTAGAGCTCTTTATACAACAGATGTGCCACAGCTATTTTTTCCTTCTTGAGTGAAGGTTTATCAAAGCATAAAACAGTATTCAGTATACATAAGACAGTTTCAAATATATGAAATTAACATACATAATCAAATTCTAATAAGATTATTTCGACTATTGCTGCCAACAGCATAAAACCTCAAACAACAGCAAAAAACTCTAACCTCTCGCTAAAATTAAAAAACTATATGCTTTGAAGGCACATGCACACTAGGCATATATAGCACACAAGGCTATAAACATCCGGCTTTGTGATTAACTTTCCTTACTATCTGTAAGCGGGTTGAATCGTGTCGTCTCCATCCAGTCAGAGCACATTCCACGTCGGAAGGCTTTAACACTCGCATAATATTGTTCTTCGTAGTCAGACGTTTCACTGGAGAGGTCACACCATGTTCTGCTGATATTCCTGCATTCTGACTTCTTAATCCATTTGCCAATACCATACCTATATCGAAAAAGACAAAAAACATCGCCATGAGTATATTAGTCATCAGATAACATACATACAAAAATTGATACTACAACTGAGAAAATAAGTTTGCCTGCTCCGTAGAAATTTGCAATTTCAAGGAATTCCAAACTCCATCTGAGATAAAACACAAGATTTTTTCAAGTTTTTAATAAAAAAAAAAATCAGAGTAAGCCCTATCCAGAAGAAGCAATAGGGAACTAACTGGGATACTGGAGACAACTAATTTAAGTCCTGTTTTGCCTGCACAGACCAGAGATCTCAACTCAGTCTCCACATCTTTAGTTTAAACTGTAAACACAGGAGAAGAGAGTTGGGTCTACTGGCTATCATCTTGTTCCAGGTGACTATTTCTATAAAGTGAAAGAGCTCTATCAAGAGTTGACTAGCCAAAACGGCCAGTGGCTCTTTTCGGTATGTGAAGACAGACGCTCAGGGGTCTCCAAGATATGTGCATAGGAGACCACTCATCTCTGACTGTTAACCTGTCTGTTAATTCTCTCTGCTTAAAATAAAGACTCTATCTGGGATATGATAAACTTCAAAACCCTTCGTGTTGAAGCAGAGGTGTATACATGCTACCTACAATGCTTCACTACTGACAAATTGTTATCTTCTAGTAGAAGAAATCAAGGTTTTGTTGGAAAATTCCTGCCTGGGTTTGCTCAGAAGCTCCTGCTCCTTAAATTCACATTGCACTGAAAATAATTCCCATTTGGCTGTTAATTAAAAGGCAGCTTCTATGTTACTCCAGGATAATATCACTCACCAGCATTTTCCAATTAGCTCAAGGCCTTGCTCTTCTAGGGAAGAAGTCATATGAATACAATAATGTAAAAGACTGCTCTCACTATGACTACAGAATCTTCTAATCAGCTGACCCTGCAGAGGCAGTGTAGCCAACTCTCTCTGAGCATTTTACCTTCTGTCCAATTACTCTTCATTCTGTTATTATTGAGCAATTTCTCCTTCTCTAGGAAAGGGAAATATGTCACTCCTCTGTCAGTACAGAGGACAAGGTGAAGGCCAAAGAGGGTGCAGTCTCTGGTTGTAGAAGCAATTCCTTGTATTTTTTCATAAACAGTACAAGTTAGGGGAAACTTTGGAGATCCAAATCGGTTTTAGTGTCATAAAAAAAAATACTAGATTGAGGAAAGGTTATATAGCAGAGAATAAGACTGAGGGCATTACATCCTCAATAACAACACTACTACACCTTTTTATAAGCTGAACTCCATGTACTGTCCTTCAGAATGACCAAGTGCTCCCGCAGTATGAATAAAAGAAATGGACTCTGGTCCTAACTCAGGTTCCTTGATATCCTACCAACCATTAGGTGCAATCTAATGTAAGGTTGTTTAAAATATAAGGGCCTGATTCTGATCACTTTACTTTGATTTCTACAACACTTGATAACTTCAGTGGATTTACTCCTGAACTGGAGGAATCTGTGGGATCAGAAGAGATCTGTGGGTGTTAAGTCTGTTAGAAAAGACCAGTAAAACATTGGGTACTGTTAATATTCCATTAAATACTACCTCCCCAGATTAGTTTAAAAGTATATATAAGGCAACTGTGATGCCAATCCACTGCACAATTCCTTTGTTTCATTTCTCTGGAATGTGTCTGAAAGCTTTCATGCTGCATCCCACATTCCTTTCATAAAGAGGAAGTCTCCTTAAACATTTTTAATTGGGTCTGAAGTAAGCAGTACCAGAAGTTAAAAAACACATTGCTTAAATCTTCTAACCCACATTTTAGTTTTCCTTCCTGTACTTTTTTACCAGCTCTATCTTGCATAAAGATTTTTTTTTTTATTTAAAATGCTAAAATAAAAGTGAGTGAGGAATAAAACCAACAAGCCAACTTACACTGAATACTTCACCTTGTAGAGTACTCCATCTCCTATGCCTTCTGGTGCTGACCAGTGTAGGACATTCTTCATGTTTATAGATTCAAAATGGACATTCCTAGGCTTAGGCAAAGAACAATACAATTCTCCTGGGAAAGAATATAAGAAAAGAACAACACGCACTAAGAACCAGCAAATAGATATGCTTCTGAGTAAGGAAAAAATATACTTATTTTTAAGCATGCAGTAAGATGTTAAATACTACCCTCCCCTCCAAAAAAGCACAATGTTGTTGGCCATGGAATTTCAGTTATTTCAAAACAATGTCCCTAACTAGTTTAGGCCCAAGGTTTCTGTACATGAATGTTCTGTCGCTAGCAAAAATTGCTTTTCTACATGACAGACATTGGCATGGTATTATCCAGGGAGTGGAAGCTAAAACTACATAAGTTCAGTCTAAAAAATAACACAAACATTTTTTAAATTTTGAGGGTAATTCGGTATCGGCACAACTTAAGACTCAAAAGTGTACAATACCCTTGATGCTTCCCTAGAATTCTTGTTGTAGCTGAGTGTCTGTCACTGGACATTAAATCCATCTAACTAGATTTTTAAAAAGACACATGGAATCTAGTTCAAGTACAGTTCTACAATCAGAAGTAAAATTTCCCATTGGAAGATCTGACTGGATGATCACAATAGATCTAAAATCATTTATCATCCACGTTTATTCTCCAGAAAGACAAAGTTAAATACCTAATATAAGGTCATTCATCAGAATTATTGTTCATTGCACCAACCTTTGAAATAAATAGGCAAATAAGTCTGGGGTCTCTAAAGAATCCAGTTTCATGTGTTATTAATACACACATTTAATATTATGAATTGAATGGGGATGCTTTTGTGGCTAAATAGATTGCAAAACGGAGGCCATTGGGCCCAGGAACAGAATCCCAAACTCCAAGTTCTCTACTCAATCCTGAGCACCTCCTGCCATGAAGATGGTGCTGATGGGAAGTGACAGCAATCAGTAACCTCAAGAATCAGCCCTGAAACAACTGCTGCTGTGAAAGAGCTGCTTGTGAACAGGCATGAGAGAGCGCCTAATAGGGAAGAAAAAAAGTGAATCTGTGGTCTTTCAGGACTTTTCAAAACTCTTCAAGCTCTTCCTCCAGGGATGCAGTTCTAGTTCTTCTTTAAGATAACAAAAAGAAACAGGAAGGGGGAAATATATTACTATGAACAGTGGGAACCTATCTGAATGACTAGTCCTTGACCTTTGTTACTTCCTTAAGCGGCGCTTAAGCCTTTTAATAGCGTATTTCACTATTACTAAAGTGTTCATTCTCCTGTATATGTAACGTATAACTGCTTTTGTAAATGAAAGACATCACTGTCCCGATTAACTTGCTGACTTCTAGCTGTCTTTGAATCATACAATAAAAGCTTTTATTGAACAGTCTCTTCAGTACATTTGTTAAAACAACCTCCTTGCAATTCTGTGGAGACCAATTACTTTAAATGTCTTGTGGTTCCTGTGGGGTTGTCAAGCCTCTAGCTATATGTTAACGTTCAAAAACTCTGGTACATGTCTGTGTCTGTAACTTCATATCATTAAGCTGTTTAGGGAGGGTATTTCTAGCACTTAGCTAGTATTCAGTGACTTTCAGATTCTTTTTTTCTATTTGGAAAACAATTTAAATCAGGTATAGTCCTAATGGCAAGCTTACTTATTTCCAGAGAATACGTAGCAAGTCCTGTTTCCTTGAAAGTCTGGACACAGAAAGGTCCAGTGACTGTCACCTTGCAGGGGCTCAAACTATGGGCTCAGTTATTAAATTAAAACATTTCAAGATGCCAAGCATGTGAAAGCAGCAAGAAAAGATCTCCAGGAAAGCTTCTGGTCTCCTTTGCTCTAGCATTTGCCTCCAAGTGACATATAGAGCCTAGAAAATAGAGAGTTTTCCTTTCCACCCAAATAAACATCCTCTGCAACGCCTGTACTTTAAATGAAATTAATCCAAATGTAAATACAAAGCTGCCTGAGAGAGCTAACAAAGCAGCAGAAAACTGGCAAGTAAAATAGAAAAGTTCCTAACACACATTCCACTAAGAAGAACAAACCAAAACATGGACTGCAAAAAATCCATGCATTGAACTTCACTCTTGGCACTGTATCCTTGCACTGAAGTGTCTGAGGCTACAGGATACTCATCACCTGCATAATCAATAGCCAGGAACAAGCGATAACAAATTAGAAGTTACCACAATCCTGTCTAAGCCCTTAAAAAGGCAACTGGGCAATCAGTGTAGAAGGAGAGGGAGGGTTTGAGACGCAAAGGAACTTTCTGTTGCAATGCCCAAATAGGAGGAAATACAATGTAGGTATTTTCTCAGATTGCTTGGAGTCAAAGCACTGAAAAGCTTTTCATCAGAAAACATGAGGAAAAACTAAAAAGCCTGATAAGGAAAGAGAGTTAAGAATAGAACGGAGTCCAGAGGAGAATACGTATATGCTGAAAGGTACAAAAACCTTTGGAGGAAAGACTTAAAAAAAAACCCAACCCTTATACAGCGCTATACGAGGAGGAGATTTGTCTGCAGTTTACTCGGGCTCCCTGTGAGTGAGGCATCTAGTTTACACTAGTCACAAACAGCAGAAGTTAACCAATCCCATAGGTTGATTCACGTCGCAAGTTAGGATGGAACAAACTGGATGCGTCTCTCTCCCTTCAGCAGAGATGACAGTCAAGCCCATTAGCCATGATGTCTGCTTCTTAGGCAGCTAAAGTTACTGAAGATGCACCTTGTCCTGGTGGGAGTGGGGAGGAAACGCGTTAAGTTTTTATATGACAAGAATAATCTGTCCTCCACAAATAAGAAAAAGAGAACGGACTTCAGTTTCAGAAAGAACAGCAGCATTAGAAAACCTGCCTTATGGGAAGAGGAGTGAAATGTAAGATTAAATTATCTGAGAGAGCTGATGGAGGTTTTGAAGGGCAGGTTAGAGAAATATCTGCCAGGAATGACACTAACTTAGTTGATTCTGCTAGGGTTAACGAGATGGATTGGATGACCTCTTAAGGTCACTCTCAGCCCCTCTTCGACAGGACTTCTTCGAGTAATATTGATTAACCTGGCTTTGCACTGTGTAGGAATAAATTTGACAGGGGCACTGCTTAGTCAGGTAGGAGAGCTAAAAACATCCCTAACCGCTCACTTTTCAGACTTTCATCTTAAAAACAATTTTTAAAAAAGGTACTGCTTATCAGGCTAATACACAGTCACTGAATTGAACTGGATGGAGGCAGCCAGCTCATCACAGATAAGGGAAATTACTTCACTGGTTTTCTGAATGTTTTTTGTTTGCCTGTATCTTTTGAGGTTTGTCCATCCCTGCATAAAAACATTTATATTTCTTGAGCACATGTGAAAGCCTCCTTAAAGTAGCAGGAATTATGTATTTGTTTATTATATTTTCATATTTTTAAATACATATAAAGGTATTTTTGTTGATTTTTTAAAATTTCCCTCCTCCCAGTGCGGTTTCTGATGTGGTAAATGAAGTTTCAAAACAGAAACATTGACTACAGCAGATGAGCCAATCTCAGCAAACAAAACCCACAGAACCATATCTTTTCAAGATCTAAAGCATTACAACACGAAGTTTGCTCCTATTTGCCCTGAGTTCAGTGTGACTTGGAAGACAGAGACTGAGACCGTTAACTTTCCATTAACTTTAAAAGCACAGATTTGGTTTCTATTTTTTGGTCTTGCCCCTTTAACAAAGATTTCTGTTTGCCCTTAGAACAAGCCATATAACTCTTTTATTCTTCAATTATTCATCTGTAAAACAGGAACAAAACTATCGCAATTCACTATTTCTACAAGAGTAGTTAAGCGTAAACTCCTTCATGTCTATCTAATGCTCAACAGTATCGGGAGGCATTCACAGAAAATAAAACTTACACGTAGCATGTATGTTCCAAAGTAATCAATTAGTGAGGAATTATGTGCATATACTTGTTTATGTCAGGATCCTGTCTTTAAATACAATATATCCAATCTGATTCTGATTTTATTTCCCCTCCATTAACCAGGATTCATGTAACGGATGTCACATAGAGTATTTTCAGTTTACACTGGCCCACCCGAGAACAGAAGTCAGTCACACTCTTGGCTTTGCTGTCTCATAGGCAGCGTCTGCAATGCCTGTCATCGTTTTCCAGTATAATGAAGTCACTTCCTTAATTTACCTCTTGTATGGAGAAATTTGGAGCCCTTATTACTGTCTTTTGAAGCACTGCAACTCAAACCTTGAGCAATATCATTCTTTACATCTCCATGACTCCATGACTGCATACCTGAACTGGAAAGGAAGTAATAATATAGGCTTGTAAACTGGACCATCACAATGAACAGCCAAGCCCTGATTTTAGAATAAGCAATTGCAAGGCTTTACAAAATACACATGGGTAAAAGACTGCATTGTAGGTGCCTCATCTACTCTTTACGAAAGAGCCTGTTTGGTTTAAAAATGCGATCAGTTTTAATTGCATAGAGCTCAGTGCCATATATGTGCTTTACTCAAGTCAGTCCTTTTCAAAACAGTTTTGATTACAGCACACGTGCATACATCCACACACATAAATTCAAACACATATAATCTCCATAATATAACTAGTATCTGTTCAATGTACTTACTTTTTATGGCTAGCTAGGAGGCACAGCTACCTGATTCAGTGACAAATAGCTAGTGTTTCATGTCAGTGCTGCTGAACAAATACAGCCTGCAATTACCCGAGCGCTCTCACTATCAATAGAATTGTTAACCCAGTCCAATGAGAGATGATATTTCTTTTTGCTCTCATTTAAGCCAGAAGAAAGCCAGCTCCACTTCTCACTTCAGTTTGATAACCTAGCACTACAAAGCATAAAAAATAAATACATAACACAAAAATGTAGATATTTTTCTGTACACTGGCTACAGTTCCAGGGTGCCGAGAAGACAAGAGACGCATTGAAAGCTTAACTACTGCCACAGGAAGCCATTCCCTGTAAGTACTGTTGCTGATCTTACTGCTTTCAAGCAAAATGATCACCTATTGTATTTTACTATGGCATAGCTACAAGGGTGCAAACAGGACTGCAGTCCCACCAAGCTATCTAATAAAATAAAACAACATAGAAAGTTCCAGTGTTTCTCTAGACAACTTTAAGTGAGTCTATGAGTGAGTGATGTGGTAAGACAAAAAGGGGAATCTTATTTCAACATAGCTTTTCCCAATAGTTAGAGCAGTAAAAACCAATGACTCCCATTCCTCCCCTGCCAATTGTCTCAGAAGTTAAATGAGGAACTCTTTTACATGTACTGACAACTACAGAAAGGACGTCTACTTCAACCGTTGCATTTTCTTATACTGAAGTAGCTGTTGGGAACACCTCTAATGGACTCAGCTCATTTGTGCCAGGCAACAAGGCAAGCAGTCCCTGCATCTCACCATTTACAGCTGCCAATTCAAAGCCACTGATGTAATCTAAGTTTACACACTTAGGTAACAAAGCAGACTTTCAAAATGCTGAGTCTCTGATTCTCCTTTCTTCACTGGCAGTTTAGAACCACCACTGAAATATCAATCCACTTAGGAGGTAGCTTTTAAAAACATGGTACTAAAACATTCACTTTTGGCTATTCTGTAACTCATTCCCTTTCTCTAGTCTTCTTGTTCAGTCTTGGGTGACTGTAATGAAATTCTTGTAGAATCTTACCTGTTTGTTCTGTGCTGCTGCTTTTTTTCCTTTAAGGAATTCTCACTCTCCTGCCTTACTATATAGCTCATTTCCTAAAACGGTTATGTTGTTTGCGATGAAAAATATTCTTTCAAATCCACACCTAAGCATAACATCAGAATAGTAATACTAGGTCATACCAAATGTCCATTTAGCTTAATATTTAGTAGCATTCACTAGCAGATGGTTGGGATTGTCTTTTCTGGCATATCTACAGTCTTCAGCAAGCTGACGTTGGCCGTACAGGAATGTGAGGGAGTATATGAAATGGTAAACAGCGGAACTGAGCCAAAATTGGAGATCAGAAGAGGAAGGGAAACCCTGCAAAACCAGGAATACACATTAGCAAATGTCATTACCTGGTATTAGTCATCTTAGCAACAATTTAAATGAATGAGTTATCTTTTTTTTTTTTTTACCGAGTGGGCTTGAAAGTCTTTCCTGTGATGATTTCTTAAACTCTTTTCTGGGATTCAACAGATCAGTTAACTAGGAGAAAGACAGGCAAATAAGACTCATTACAACTTAGCTGCCTTTTGTCCTGGTGTGTTGCTAGAGCCCTAGGATGGCAGCATATTAAGTTGGGCTAGTGAAACCTTTTTACTTTAGCTTTGCTGGTGGGAATGCAGGGAGGAGTACAGAGGTGATTTCCTGTTTTAGTCATAACAGTGCTTGACACATAACCACAAAGCAAACTATTGCCCTCCTAGAAGTGGAGCCAGTCACTCCTGTCACTCTTTTCATTCGGGGCACAGGGGAAATGGGAGAAAAATATGGGTACAGAAGCAGAGTCATAAGACTAAATGAAAATGAGGAGGTGGAGCAGACAGAAAAGTAGAAGTCATAAGAGAAGAGGTGGGAAACAGAGAGAATAAAAAGACTTGGACATGTTGGGTCTGTTTTTGATGAAAATAAGTATGGTTGCCATTGGAAGCAGGTGAATATGAAGAGGTCACTTGGGGAAAGAATAAGAACGGTGGAAATACAGTCTTGCAAAGCTGTGCCAATGTATGAGAGAGATGCAAAAGGTATACTGAAGGTATAGCTTGCCCTGACACACTCTCCTCTGTCTGAAGTCTCATGTTTATTTATCCAAATCATGCCCTAACTTGCAGAGTACATTGGTCAAAAAACATTTCAGAGGCTCGAGTGGGTAAAGACTCACTCCATTAGTCAGAAAAGAGGAGAAGGTTTCCCCAGTCCATTGAAGGCTTGCTGGAAGACAGGTGGAGAGAGCTGTGGTGGCTTATGACTACTCCTTTTTGCTGACTTGTATGACAGAAGTGAAATAAATTGAATTTTGTTCTCATTGCTTTGAAGGTCTGCAAGTGCCAAAGTAAAGCTGCTTCTGCCTACCCACCTATACGCCACTGCAAAAAACACTTCCTTGATGAATACCAATAGGGAAAAGTTAATGTAGTTGAGATCTCTGTCAATTTTGAGTAATGGTATTATCAATACTGACCTGAAACAACTTGAGTGAAGTTCAAGATGTGTTGTCTAAAATTACCTGCAACCTCTTCAAGGTTCCAAGAGTAATACTCCATCAGAGGTGAACATTTTTTACAGATAAAAAATCATTTAATTTGATATTTTGTAAGATTGGAATACAAAACCATGTTTTGACAAAAAAAAATTAGAAAGGCCTATTGTTGACATAATTTCATGACATAACAGCTGCTTCTCCAAAACAGATGTTTGAAGTTATATAAATTATTAAAAATAGCCCAGCTGTCCAGAATTTGAGTATTTTCTTTTCTCCCTAGAATATGTTTAACATCACCATGTTATTACTTAGATCATCCAGAACCACAGGGCTATCACAAACCAACATGCAAAAACCACAGCCCAACAGCCATGAAAATTAAAGCTTAATTAGAATACTTCTGACAAGTTAAATTAGTTTTTCAAATACTCAGGGGTTAAATAAACTTTCTTTTTGAAATGAAAGAGCATAAACAAAGATCCTATGCGAGAGCTCTCAGTTGAATTCCGACACATCATGTTTTGGACCAATTCCTAAATCAAACATTAAATTTATATATATATTTTTACACATAGACTCAGCAAATACTAGCTTTGGCTTTCATCATTTAGCACTGGCTAATATCTATTAGGTAATTACAACTGATAACATTGTATTTATTGCCTAAAGGGTGTTGCTCTTGCTCCCTGACCTACTAATGCCTTGTCTAGACAAGAGAATTTGCTTCTCTTGAAATCCAAACTAATTGCCTAAGTGAAATGTCCTCTTCTGAGTCCATATTTTCCCCTCGGCATGAGATTGAGTATGATGCCAACGGAAGACGAGGCCTTGCCTTCATTTTTGAGGGAAAGCCAATCCTCAAAAGATTCAAGTTGAACACACTTTTCCAGATCAGAGACTTGGGAGGTAGGACTAATACACCTGGCAGGCTTGCAACAGGTGCAAGGAGAATCAGAGACTCATCTCTTGCGGGCAATCGGGCTGACAAGGTCATACTGCCACCCAAGCCTGAAAGATAATAAATGTTCTATTTCCAGTCTCCAGTCAATGCTTGCCAACGGCAAGAGGATATTTCAAGAGGTCGCAACTCCATCCCTATGACCCAGACAGAGAAGGTAATCTCAGTGTCTCACAGGTATCTACAAAAGCTCCCCAGATTTAGCAGCATAAATAGCAGGTAGTGCAGCACAGAGCCAGGCATGCCTTGGAGGAGTTACATAGCTGTGTGGGCACTTTCTATTACCTATTACAGCGTGCCTCATGCCAAACTACAGACAAGTGGGCCACAGGTCACCTTTTCCTCTTACCCTTTGGGAAATCTCATCTGAGAGAAAAAACTCTCCTCCCCTGCTCCACTTGCTCCGTTTCCAACCTGTGAAGCTGGAAAGTGTTGGAAGAAGCACTCCAGAAGAGCTGGATTTGAGTTCACCTTGTAGGACGCCCAGCACCGTTCTGAGTATGCTATTTTGCACAGTGTCAAGGATCTGCTGGGAACACCCTAGCAGACTTGAAGCAGCCTGCTGAGGATTTCTGCTGCTACTCGAAGTACTCACAGAACTATTTTTTCCTTCCTTGTTCCCCACGTTTAGTCTTGTTTCTGGAGAACGTAGGACATAAGCACAAGGCAGCCCCGAATGGACATTCTGCTGCCTTCAATGTTCAGCTCATCCGGACCAGTTGATTAGGAAGTGGTTGCTCGAATGGCAGTAGGGATCTGTGTGGGGAGAACTGAGAAGCCTCAAGCAAAGAGGAGCTCGAGCCTCATGCTGGGCAACTGCTCCTAGTGAGGTCCCAAGCCGAGAAGGTTTGCTGAGGTATCTGTACATTTCTGTTAGTCTCCTGTGAGGTAGTCTGGTGTTCTCTGAGGCACTGTATGACTGTTCAGAGCGCTCCCACAGTAATTTCAGATGGGAACTAGTCATTATCTAATAATAGGTACAGTATTATTTTTAGTCTCTTTCCTGTACTTAACACGTATTTTTTTTTTGTTAAAACCACCAGTCATGATTTTTAGGCACATCTACTCAGCCTATAG